GTTCCTCCCGCTCTTTTTCCTGCTCCCTCTGCTTTTTTCCTCGCCTCCACGTGTTGGAAGGTGGGGTCAGGGGGGGGGGGGGAAACGTTGGGAAAAAAACCTTCAAGACCACGGCCACACAGCCCGGAAGTCCCACACCAGCCATCGTATGCCGGCCGTGAAAGCCTTCGACATTACATTATTTTCTTCCACAGAGGCTTCAGGGTCTCATAAACACTGTTATGAGAAGCTTAACACAGAAGGTACACAGAAGGGAAATTGTGGAAAAGATGGAGACAAATGGATTTCTTGCCACAAACAGTAAGTTTGAGAATGCTGGATTCAATTGTTCTTAAACTGACTTGCTTGGCATAAAAAATACAGGGGCAGAATTTCCCACTTCACTACAGCCACCTCTGCTTCCCACAGGAACTTCCCTTTCCCTAGAGGCAAGTTTTCTAATTTTTCAAAATAATCTTTCTCTTCTCATTCTACAAAATAGCTTGTTAATGTATCTTGGCTTTGTTTTACAGTGATGTGTTCTGTGGATTATTGCTTTGTGCAAATCTTGATGGGGTTCCACGAATCGGTCACCTTCAGGGAGAAATTATTCCAACTTCTTTTTTCCACCAAGGTGTTGTAGTGAACTGCAGGTGTGTAAAATCTGATTCAGTGTGTAAGACTGGCTTTTTCAGTTTACATAAAATTTATATAAAAACTTAAAGCACGTTTGGAAGGGTTGTTTCTCAATAAATAAGGCTAAAACTACATTTGATAAATTCTAGATGATTTTAATTTTCACAATTTTTTCATTGTACTGGTATCTGAAATTATTCTATTGCTTCTTTGAGATAATTTGAATTTTATTACTGATTTCAGTGTTGCCAAATTTCTTTAATTTGAATATGTTTCATATTTGGACAAACAGAATTGTCCAAAACAGCAAACATCCATGAATATAAATAGGGTGGAAAAAAAATCATGTTATTATTTTAGTGCCTGGTGCTTACTTGGATTTTCAGGTTATACATGTTATGAATATTTTACATTATTTATTTCAATGAAGTTTAATTATGCTAGTAACATTTTAAAACTTCTTCTTGTAGTTGTGCACATGTACTTTTAGATGATGAAACAGATTTAGGATATGTAGAAGATGGGACTCCATGTGGTCCTAATATGATGTGTATGGACCGAAGATGCCTATCTATTCAGTCTTTGAACATAAGCAGCTGTCCTATTGATGCTAATGGAAAAGTTTGTTCAGGACATGGGGTAAGTCCCAGGTCAGCAGGATATGTGACATATCTAGTTCATAGAAAAGAATTTTTTTCTAAGAAAAGAAAGTCATTTTTCTTACTGATAATCTATATGCATATCTCTGCACATGAAGACAGGAAGCAAAAATTCCTAAGGACTAATAAGATGTACGTACAAGAAATTGGCCTTTCATCTCAGGGTTTAACTTTCATTAACTTAGCCTTGCTTGGAGATTTTTTTTTCGTCTTCTACTATTTACTCCTGGAACAGAACAACATTGTTCTGGAAAGACATAAAATAGAAATATTGTACACAGCCATAATTAATAGAGTTACACGCAGCACCAAGTTTGGCAGACTTCTAAGGGAAGATTGCCATCAGCTGAAATACAGCTTTTTAGCTGGTAGGTATAATTCACCTCCCTCCCCTCTGTGGGGCGCAGACTGTGCCCTTTGGCTGAAACTGATATGAGACAACCCTAAAGGATCATGATGTTTCCTTAGTAGTGTGCGAACGGTGCAAATGAAGAGATCTTGCTATACTACTGTCTCCTTTTCCTTTCCTAGCTAGAATATTCCCAGCTCCAGGATGGCAGCCATTCTGGTCATTTTTACCAGTATCTAAAAGTATTGAACAAGTTGTGGGAACATTATATCAGTATTCATTCTATTTCTTGAGCCTGTGTCCAGGTATTTGTGAGATATCGTGAGCCATTGTGAGTCAGGCAGCATACAAGTTTGAATTGTTGTTGTTTTTTTATATATTAAATTATTTTTGTTTCTTATGTGATTATCTAAACGGTTAATAGGTTAACTCTTGACTGAAAGCAGCATCAAAATGTTTCCTTTTCTGATATGTCAGAATGTTTTTTCCTAAAATAACATGTCTTTTTGCCTATGAAAATACACAATGGTTCTTCAATCTGTGTATAGGCAGTCAAAAATACACAAGCCATGGAACAATTTTATTTACCTTTTTTCAGCTGCGATCACAGAAAACATTGAGATTCTTTTTTGTTCCAGAATGTAATCCAAGCATTTTTATTTGTGAGTCATTAACAGCTCATTGCCTTGTATTTCTACGCTAACTGGGAAACCACATACAGATGCGAGTACTTCTGAAGGAACCCCTAGGCAGGTCAGATTCTCCTGTGATGATGAGATCTCTTTGTACGTCTGACTGCATGTGGCCAAAGACATCAAATAGAAGCCCTTATTCTACTTAATCTCCTCCAAGGTGCTCTTTTCATGATACGCTAATACATACCAACATTTCTTTTAGGTGTGCAGTAATGAAGCCACCTGCATTTGTAACACTACTTGGGCAGGAACAGATTGTAGCATGTTTGATCCTAGAAGGAAAGATGACTCAGAGAAACCAAGCGGACCAAAGGGTTTGTGTGATTTCAGTTCCTTTTTCCACATATAATTATACTGTTAACAGGAACATTTGTATCAAAGCATTTGAAAACGATTAAATCATTAATGTATATTTTATTTCGTGGTACATAAGTTTTTATCTGTATTGTTCATGAGGTATTTCACTGACATGAAAATATTTTATTTTGGGTTTTTTTTTATTTTTCTAAAATACAGGAAATATATTTTGTTATAACTAATCCCAATAATAATTTTACCTGTCAGTCTAACAAAATGCCTAACATTTTAAATGTGTGTATGTGTATGTTTATATCATCATAAAGATTAAATTCTTACATTTTAATGCCTAAAACCCTTTATTAAAATTACATATATATGGAAGTAATCCAATATTCTTGGAGACTCTCAGAGGTCATTTCTAGCACAGTCTTCTGTGTACAGACATCCTATTGAATTTAATTGGATTTGTTACTATGTAAATGTATATAGGAATTAAAGCCTTAAATCATTTATCACTAACCTAACAAAATGAAAGTGACAGAATATTAATATATTACTGATCTTTTATTTTTGCAAACTTAATAGATTTTTGTCTAACTTCTGCATGACTATTGATTTAAATGTTCTGAATGCAAAAAAGCCTCTTTGAACCCACTATAGGATCTCAAATGTACACTAATAAAAATAGTATATAATTCAATAAATTGAGTATAAATACTCAAATATGACTGAGTATCACTTTGCATTTTTAAAGCAGGCATCATTTGGAAATTTGAATGATTTTGAATTTTATTAATGAATTTTCATGCCCATTCTTACCATCTAAGATGTTAGAATCCATTTAATTCAACCATAAATCCATAAATTGGGGGGTTGGGGGAATAGTGGCTATTAGAATACAGTCTACTGATAGTGGGTTACTTTCTGAATGGCATGAAATTCTGGATTCACCATTATTCAGAAATTAATTCTGATAGATATACTGCATGTATGGAGTTACAGAGCATTCAATTTATATAGTTTTTAATTTACCTTAACAAAAGAATGGAATGTTAGATTGTAAAAATATGAAAATTTCAAGAGGAGTAAAGCTAAAGTAGGTGATAGAAATTCATTAAATTCATGTAAAAGTGATCAGATGTTCATAAATGGTGACAGGAGAGGACCAGAGAACCCATGGAACTGGCACTAGAAACTGGTACAACGATGTTTTAAGGATCTTCCAGTACTGTGCCATTTTATAACAAAAAGAAAGCCTTAGTGGAATCTTTCTCTCTCTCTCGCCAGCCTTAGCCTTTCCCTAAATAGAAGCTGCAGTAATAAAAGATACATACTCCATGTAATAAAAGTGCCACTTAAGATGTGATGATCTCAGGGACTCTAATTTCTAGTGAGAGAAGGATTTCTCTCTGGAAGGAGTTCATTCCTCAAGATATAAAATTCACTGAGAATCAAGTATCAGAAAATTTGTCCTGCTGTGACATGTTTTGATGATCCTTTCTTATTTCTAAAATAACAAAAAATGCTTTGTGGAAAAAAAAAAAAGAATTCTAATGAGTCTGAGGGAAAATCTGATTTGGAAAATCTTTTGGAACTCTTGGATAAACCCAGACTTGGTAAAGATATGGAATTGTAGAGTAGGAGACAATGGGAGCAAATGGGAACAAGATAGTATTTCAAGAACATTAAAGCCAGTTTCCAAAGAAGAGATTTGTATAATAGAAATGAAAGACAGCCATGTCTTTGCCTCCCAGTTTTCCAGTTCCTAGTTTTAAAATAGTATAGTGCATTTCTCTTACAAAATGCAAATTATAATTTGAATTTGGAAAATAAAATTCTGCCTACACAACCATGCTTTTCCATCCATATCTAGCAGCATATTCATAAGGGAGATTGTGACCCTAGCCCTGGTGATGGGCCATACTCTAAAGATAATTTTAATCTTTAAAAATCTGCAGTATTTTAGAATGTTCATTAATTTGCTTTCATTTTTTATCTAACCAATCAGTAGCTATTTTAAAAACTTTCATAAACAACAATATTTTCAGTGTTATACTAAAAGCTTTCCTAGAAAAAGGTTTTTCCTATGCACTGTAACTGTAACATTCTGAAAATGTAAAAGTATTTCAGCTGTGGATTTCAGAAGACTGCTGTGTTTATGTAAAGCAATAGTTATGAGATTTTGGTAAAAATTGAAAAGTTGAAAATCTTCATACTATGCAAGAGTACCTATTATAACAAACATTATGCAAACCATCCTGTTATTTTAAGAGAACTAATTTGCTTTTACTGCTTTAGTCCTTAGCCTTTTTATATATTTCAGGTTCTAAAATTAGAGTCAGAGATAAACTTGGAAATATATTATTAACAGCTAGAACTGCAAGAGATTATCGTACAATCAATATTTAAAAACTTTTCCCAATAAAATAATTTCCAGGCAGATAAGATAATAAATTTCATTGTGAATTTGAAGCTAGAGAGCTATTGGGAAGTTAAAACACAATTTGGTCTTTATTTAGTAAAATACCGTAAGTGACCCAGAGAGACCTCAGTGGAAGATATTCTAGCATTGGCGAAGTTCTGTGAGAGCTAGAAGAAGACATTATTCGACACTCTGGCAAGAGATTAGGTAGTACTGCACATCTTGTACTTTGCAGAGACAGAAGCACATTCCTCAGATCACTTTTCTTTTCTCGAGCAAGGATATTCCACACAGTCAAAACCAAAATCCTTCAGAAGGATACTTTTGAACCTAATCTCCGAAAGATGTTCTAATCCCATAAAAATTTGGGAAGATCCCCATATGAATGTTGATATGTTATTATATTATATCCCATTTTTCCTCTTGAATTCAAATTGCTTTTGATTCTTACTGAGTATAGCCTATCTTTCAAATTAACTTTTACAAAGTTAATGATATGATGCCATAATATAAAGAAAAATAATTCCAACTTGCAAACCAACAACCTTTAATATTCTGGTTGATGGATTGGTGTATTTCCCTTTCCTTTCTGTAATCCCAGGGTAGTTGGAATATACCAACTGGTTATCATCTTCGCGTGATATTCTTTCATGGAGAGAGAGGAGCAATCTCCAAGATGTATATTTTAAATCAACATGGATTTCAAATAGATACTATCTCTATTTCTTGCTTTTTGGAAGGAAATCCTCGAGGATTTCACTTTAAGTGCAAAATGTAAGCTAGATTGTTACACTTACTTAGAAACTGGAAAGGACATCCATTTATATTTGCAGTTAAAATTTTAGTCATTAGAAACAGCTGAAGCCTATTGCACTTATGTGTTTCTGATTGGGAAGGACAGTCCAGTACTATGGAAACTGCCAGTTCTAGTTGTGAAGAATAAGGACAGATTCAAGTGATACCAGCATAAATGAATTTTATGTTGAGCACGATACATTAATAGATTGCAACAAAAGATTTATGTCCCATCGTTAATAAATGTATTGGTGCATAACCATCAGTGGGGAACCCACTTAACTTGATGCATGAAGTGGTAAGTTTGTGAGCAGGCAGCCACCTGGGGCCCTCTGTTTCTTGCCCAGCCAAGCTATTGATGAACAATTTGCATGATGTTGACTAGGAACTGCTTCATGTGCTGGTGGAAAGCTGGAGGAATCCTCCTACAGAACCATTTGCAATAGTGGCAGATAGCTCAGAGTCTGCATAGATTCATACCCATGGATTTTTTTTCTCTGTTTTTCCTATAGTTTCTACATTGCTATATAGCCTGGAATGATTTGGATAACATTTTTCACATTATGCTTTTAAAAATCTTAAATATTAGTCACATTTAGGCAGTGTTTTTAAAACTTTGTAAAGACCATAATCAAGCTTTTCTTGGCTGTTTGGCTCATTGGTCATAATGCAATAATTATTTCCATTAGTACACAAGAGTGTTGTTATTTGGTTGTAGGATATGTGTTTTTTAAACAGTCTGTATTCCCTAGATGTGGAGTGCATCCCTTTATGGGCATTGATGTATTTACGGAACAGTATTAGTTGACAGTTGAACAAAATGTCCTTTCTTTCCTCTCCTGGGATCGTCCTTGGAGTATGTGTACCAGTCATTATTTTCAACAGGAAGCTGATGCATATTTTCTATATAAAGCTAGCCATTTGGTAAGGCCCTGAAAAAGGAGAATTATAGTTGGTTACGTAAAGAGAAGAGAAGCACCATTTAAATGGACCATCTCCTACAGTGCATGCAGCTGTAAAGGAGCTGCAAAACTGCAGTTAATCCAGGCCTATCATCTTCCTTGCTACAGCTTCACCCATAGATAATATGCATGAGTTACAAAACATTGATAAATTTTTAAAATAAATTACAGTTAAAATAGATATGCTGAATTATTTCTAGAACTGCTAAAATGAATTATCTATAAATGAATTACAGAAAATGGTATATCATTTTGAATGCCATATAATTTTTCTTTTCTGATTGCTATGTATGCAATGACTTTCTTTTTAAAAGATCTTCCCTCTTCCCTCTATACAGTGAGCATGGCCACTAACAGGCTTATAGATGCAGTGGCAGGGACCATTCTGGCACTGGGGGTGATATTTGGAGGCACAGGGTGGGGAATAGAGTAAGCATATTTATTAGTTTCAGAGTTTTATGTTTGGTGCCTACTGTGTGAGGTAACTGTACGCATCTGATCCCTCTGTGTACTCCAACTAGCGCTGTGTTCCGTGGTGACTGTATTTGTCGTGTGATTTGAATGTCTGTGTCATGTGATATGCTCATGCAGTGTTTAACTCTCTCCTGTCTGGGATAATGTGGGGCATAAAACAATAGTTTGTGAGTTTTGTATCACCATAATTAATACAATTCAATGTTTATATATTTTCAGTGCTCTAAATTATAAACAAGGTTTCAAAAAATTATTACAGTTTTAAAAATTAGTGGAATAGACCACTTAGACTACTTGATATAATTTGGTTTACTGCCGGAAGCATTCAGAGGAATAGTAAGTAAACATATATAAATTAAAT